TTTTTTTTTTTTTTTTTTTTTTTTTTAACACAGTCCCTCCAGTGCTAGTGATGCTGTTGGGGACAGACACCACTAGCACCTGGGGGGAGGCTCTGTCTATCGGTGGGGAGCATCACCTGCTGGAAAACGGGTCCAGCGTCCCTTACAGAGAATGAATTCAATATGATGCATATGATACATGGATGATCATGGGAGGGTAAGTGGATGGCGCCTGCCAGCATTGATTACTCTGGAGACCAGAGGATTGACTGCGCAGGTGTGCCCCTGAACCCGACTGAGCCTGAACCCGACTTGTCCTGATGCACACTATTCGTTCTTATCATTATCTCCATTCCTCTGCCCGGACAGGATTCTGAGAAGGGCCACCGGGGGGCACCAGTGGATCCTTCCTTCTCCTGCCCGGCCCTCTCCGTCGGGCGTACTCTGCTGCCACGCACTCCTACCCATACTGTGTTGGAATGAGAATTTGATAGGTGGAGTCATCCCGCCTGTCGCAGATCCAGAGACAATGGGTGGGGCGGGAATATATCCGGGAAGTCCTCTGCTGGTCTCAAAGGTACACTTCAGTCGATGGTCAACCAATCCTTAAACTTTAAACGGTAGTCTCGTGGCACCGTACTTTGTCTGTTCTAAGTCCAGGCGTGGAGCATTTTGTCTGTTCTCAGCCAGTATCAGGTTGTGCTGCCCCAACTCGTTTTTGAGGCTGGGCCTGGATCCAATTTTGTGCCAGGCCGTTGTCTTCTTTCCAGCACTGCTGCTCATTCAGCGTGGTTGGGTCTGGATCAGAGCCTGAGTCGTCCCAGGCCACACAGACCCGGGCCTGGGATTTCTCGTAGGCCTTTCATTCGAAGTGCAAGATCCTTGAGAAGATCAGACGGCCCAGAGTGGAGGCCCACTTGGGTGGAGATAGGCCCATGTGTACTTAGGAGAGGGCGGCCCAGTGGTAGGAAGGTGGTTCTCACTTCATTCGTGTGCCACCAGGCAGCACGAATGAGGGCAGCTCAGCGCCGGTGGAGGTAGAGAAGCACCGTCAGAGGAGCTAGGGAGTAGGGTTGTAGAGGTTAGAGGAAGATAGCAGTGAAGCTGGAGGAGTCCACTCACCTGGTGCCATATCCTAGAGGTCTGCCGCCAGCCATAGCTGGCCTTCTTCTTCCAAACACCGGCAGTGCATCAGTGGCCCACTGGCCCCGGCCCAAGGCTCTGTCTTTCACTGGTCAGTATCAACAGCGCGTGTGGGTGTGTAAGAGTGTGCAAAAGCACAGCGAATGAAGCTCCAATACACGTGATGTGTACTCCGTGCCATTGATTCATCAGGGACGCAGTCCAAGGACACCACAACAATGCACAATTCTCTCTTATCGGTTACCTTGTAAACGTTTTCTATAAGCCATAGACTTGATGGAAAGACAAACAGCATGCAGCAAGGCAAACAGCACGAGGCAGCAAGGCATATAGGCTGGAGGGCACAGCAGAGGCGGGTGGGCAGGTGAACAGCACAAGGCAACAAAGTGCACCGGGTGAAAGGCATTGGTTAGGCAGATGGGCAGGCAGACAGCATAAGGCAGTGACGGAATGACAGCAAGTCAAATACCGACAAGGCAAAAGCAGCAACCGAAAAAAATACAAGTATAAAAAAAACAAAGACTGAAAAAAACAAAAACTGATGATAGATTGTTTCACCGACTCTCATCAGGAGGCTGAACCCTCGACAATCTGCGGAATCTCGGTATTTGATGGTTTGGGTCATGAACCCTTTGACCCTTGTTGAAGGCAGACTGTCCCCAAGTGGAACATAGCAGCGGGCAGCAACCCTGTGGAGCACCAGGCAACATAGTAAAGGTGACACAGCTGCACAACGCCAAAAAAAAACGACTGCAAGGAACGATCCGGCAGCGGATGACAAATGAACAGCACAACAACCGTGCAGTGAAGCACAAGGCAACACAAGCAAGACAACCACACTGCAAGGGACGACAGGGCAAGCAGACTAGCAGATCAGCAACCATGCAGCGAAGCACAAGGCAACCATCCTACAAGGCCCACAAGCAGCAAACACGCAAGGCACGACTAGCGAATGGGCAACAAGGCAGCGGAGCGGCGAAGCGCATGGCAAGACCAACAACACGGCCACACCACACAGCGAACACATCAAACTGCAGAGAACCACATGCGATGCAAGTGGGACAGGCAGCAGGGCAGCGGTGGAGTGCAGACGAGGCCGTCCATACATCCAAACGGAGCAAAGCAGCACATGATCTACTCACATCACCATTGAACCCCACAGACTGTTGGTTCTCACCATCCCCTGAGCCACGGAGACACTCCGACGTGCATCCGTCATCGCCCACAGACAACACATACATCTCGAACCGAGCGGCCCCCCTAAGAGTACAGTAGGCACTTCGAACGTGGAACCATTGACTGTTTTGGCACTACTTAAGGGTGCTCAGTTGGGAAAGCAAAAATACTTGGAAAAAATTGAAGGAGGACAGACAAGAAGAGGACAACAGACAGAGATTGTGTGTGTGTTTTATTACGATACAATACTGCCGCGACCATGCCACGGCATGTTGCGTCAAAAATCATGGGTATGACAACACTTGGGTATGAGGCCGTACCCTGGTATGCCTATGAGACGAATGCACAAAAGTCATGCGAAGGCCAGAAAAGCAACAGACCACAAACCAAAAGCTCCAATCAAATAACAGTGAGCCAAAGAGCAACATGGCAAAGGTAGTAATGCACGAAAGACAGTAAATCAAAGGCATGAAACCAACAAGGTATTGGACAAGCATCAGACAGCAATGGACAAAGGCTGGAGGGCATGAGGGAGCCGGGCGGTCAGACAAACAACACAGCAGCAGAGCACAAAAGCAGCGAAGCAAAAGACGAAGGCTGGAGGGTATGGGGAGCCGAGCGGGCAGGCAAATGAACACAAGGCATCAAGCCACAACAAACAACGGAAAAAAATGCATAGGGTGGAGGGTATAGGGAGGTGGGCGGGCAGACAAGCAACAAAAAGCAGCAAGGCATGAAACATAGTGGAGACACAGGTTGGAGGGTATGGAGGAGGCGGGTGGGCAGACAAACAACTCAAAGCCAAAAAGTAACACAACAGAAGAACAACAGGCAAAAAGGAATCAAGTTCCAAAACAAAACTGAAAAAAAATAAAAACTGATGATAACAAGATTGTTTCGTCGGAGTTGCACCGACTCATCAGGAGACTGAACCCTCTACAATTTGCGGAATCTCTCTATTTTATGGTTTGGGTCACGGACCCTTTGACCCTTGTTGAAGGCAGACTGTCCCCAAGCGGAACATAGCAGCGGGCAGCAACCCTGTGGAGCACCAGGCAACACAGTAGAGGCAACACAGCTGCACACCGCCAAAAACAACTGCATGGAACGACATGGCATGCAGGACATGCAGCGCGGCAACCGTGTAGTGAAGCACAAGACAACACAAGCAAGGCAACAACACTGCAGGGGATGACAGGGCAAGCAGACCAGCAGCTCGGGAACCGTGGAACGGAGCACAAGGCACCAGCAACAAGGCAACCAACCTACAAGGCACACAAGTGGCAAACACGGAAGGCACAGCCAGCGGATGAGCAGCAAGGCAGCATAGCAGGGAAGCGCATGACAACACCAAAAACATGGCCACACCACGCAGCGAACACAGCAATTTGCAGAGAACCACATGCGAAGCTAGCGGAACAGGCAGCAAGGCAGCGGCAGAGCGCAGACGAGGCAGTCCACAGATCCAACACGGAGCAAAGCAGCACATGAACTACTCGCATCATGATTGAACCTCGCAGACTGTTGGTTCCCACCACTCACTGAGCCAGGGAGTCGCTA